CTTTTCCTCTTTATCTCCCACAAAACTTTTCAAGGTGGCTGTGACGGGCAATATTGGGGCTTTGAAGATGTCCAGTACAGAGAAGATATTCAATAAATACTTGAATTTAGGATTAAAGTTTATAAATAAGAATAGTATTTTTTCTTTTTCTTATAATTTTCACTTTTTCTAAAGTTGAGGTATAGTTAATTTACAATGTTATGTTAGTCTCATGTGTACAGCAAAGTGATTCAGTTATGTTGTTATTCAGTCGCCCAGTTGTGTCCGACTCTTTACGACCCTGTGGACTGCAGCATACCAGATCTCCCTGTCCCTCACCACCTCCTGGAGTTTGCCCAAGTTCATATCCATTGCATCAGTGATGCTGTTCAGCCATCTCAACCTCTGACACCCTCTTCTCCTTCTACCCTCAGTCTTTCCCAGCATCAGGGATTTTTCCAATGAGTCATCAGTTCACATCAGATAACCAAAATACTGAAGCTTCAGCTTCAGCATTAGTCCTTCCAATGAATATTCAGGGTTGATTTCCTTTAGGATTGACTGGTTTGATCTCCTTGCAGTCCAAGGGACTCTCAAGAGTCTTCTCCAACACCACAGTTCAAAAGCATCAGTTTTTCAGTGTTCAGCCTTCTTTATGGTCTAACTCTCACATCCATACATGACTATTGAAAAAACCGTAGCTTTGACTAGATGGACCTTTGTCTCAAAGTAATGTCTCTGTTTTTTAATATACTGTCTAGGTTTGCCATAGCTTTTCTTCCAAGGAACAAGCATCTTTTAATTTCATGACTGCAGTCACTGTCCAGAGTGATTTTGGAGCCCAAGAAAATAAAGTCTGTCACAGTTTTCATTTTTTTCCCCATCTTTTTGCCATGAAGTGATGGGACAGGATCCATAATCTTAGTTTTTTGAATGTTGAGTTTCAAGTCAGCTTTTTCACTCTCCTCTTTCACTTTCATCAAGAAGCTAGTTAGTTCCTCTTCACTTTCTGCCATTTAGGGTGATGTCATCTGCATATCCAAGGTTGTTGCTATTGTTATATTAATTGCACGAGATTAAAAATTTAGAAAGACAAAGAGAGAAGTGTTTATCGTATTGTTTTATATACCCTGATAAAAGTTAAATATTCAGACATGTGCTGGATAATCAATAAAGTCTTAGGATATATTAGGATAGAGAATTTTGAGACACATTATTTCTTTTTTATTTTCTACTTGATTTTAAAATTTACATGGAAGAATAAGTGTGTTAAAATTCCAAGAAAATTATTAAATAGAAGGCTGATGTGAATGAGTAAAGATATTAAATATAATAAAGATATATCTCTGTCTGGTCTCTTGCTGTGTAGACATCTTGTGTCCTTAGGCACACACAGCATCTTCCACACCACACCTGGACCCTCAGTGCTGCTCAGAGAACCTCACAGTTGCCTTCATCAGTTCCCATTGCCATTCCCCTTCCTCCCAGCTACTGTAAAACCTGCTCCACCTTCTTCAAAAACTATGTTTGTCCTCTTGCTCCAAATAAGCCCCCAAACACAAGTCTCTTATATCTTTGAAATCATCAAATATAAAGTACATAATCTCTTATCATAAAACACAGAAATTCATGTTTTATTACCTCCACCTTTGACTTGCCAGTGCATGGCTAAGTGGTCCTCCAAAGTTTGCATTTATACAGATATCTTAAAGGAAAAATTGGAGAGAGAGACTTTTCTAGTAACAATGAAAGAATATATGACTCAGAGCACTTCATTCACAGCTCTCTAGTTCTACCATCAAAGAACTATGAACAGTTACATCTAAATATGCAAAGGAAATTTGAAATCTGGCACAAATCCATAAGAATCTTTGATTTGTTAAATGATATCCCTTTAGGGATCACCTCTATATATGTAAATGATATCCTCCTATAGTAAGAGTAGCCTCCACTCCTACTAGCCTAGTGCAAAATAATGTCTCACATTGTTTGTACGGAAACAACTCCACCCAGGAAAGTACATCCTCATTTTTGTCCCTCCTTCTCATAGCCTCCCTGTGCAAAGAGAATGTGTATGTGGCAATTAGCAAATGTTTCACTCTTACAAAAAGTGAATTATGAAAAAAAAATTATGAGGATTTATTTTAATTGGGAGAATAAATAAAGCTACTTCAGCGTCAGGTAAGTCCACTGGAGAAGAAAAGAATAGCAGAGATTTATAAGAGGAAAGTAAATGAAGCAAATCACTCACAGCCACAGTGCACTCAGGGAGGATGGGGAGGTGCCTCAGTCCTCTCCAGCCCACCTATCTCCTATTGCCCTGCTGATCAGACACCAGCTCTCTTGGAACTTTCCATTTTCTCAGGCGGTGGACAAAGAACTGACCATACCTGAGCAGATGACTCCCGCATCTTCTTGATGATTGCAGTTGTGTTGCTGCCATCCCCAGGAAGGGCACCTCCACACTTGGGACTCCTCTCCTCTGCAGCTCACTTCATCCAGCCAGATGGGCCCTGATCCCGCCCCGAAGTAAGAAGAGCCAGTGGCCTCCAGGGCTTCTCCACAGCTCAGCTGCCTACACACCACGTGGGCATCGTCCAGGTCCCAGCCGTCATCACAGATGGTGCCCCAGGAGCCCTGGTCAAGGATCTCCACTCTCCCGGCGCAGGAACCGCCCCCGTCCACCAGGCGGAGCTGTCTGCTGTCTGAGCAGAGAGAAATGGGACGATGGGTGATAACACCAGGGGTTGAGAAGGGTCTTCTGTCCTGTGGAACCCCCACCTGAGCAGTAGGAGGCGCTCTCCTCTGAGGCTGCCGACCCTGATGCTTCAGACACGGAGTCGTTGCACTGGGGCAGCAGCTGGGTCTGGTTTTTTATACCAGTGGCAAGAGAATAATAAGGTTGAAAAAACAGGAAGAAAATAAAACAGGAAATATTAAGTTTGAAAACACTCTAGTGAGCAGTCTGAGACAGAAGGTGGTATGAGGTCCTATCAGAGTTAACATTCTGATCTGTAGTTCTGCACAGCATCAGAGAAAGATTTACAGAAAATGTTAGTGTCTCTACCCAGAGCAGTTAAATGAGTTCAGAGTCACTGCAATAAGCTGGCAGCTGGATGGATTCCTTTCAAAGCACACACATTTTGATGCCGTTGACCTAAGAGTTAAAGGGGTTGATTAAAGGGAGTGGAGTCAGGAACTGGCCTCGGATGCCTCAGATAGCAATCATGAATCCTCTACCATTAGAATCCTTCTCCCTGGTACAGTCAGTCAGAACTGAAAAACAAATGGATTCTGTGATATCTTGGTTTACCTCCAGAATATTTCATTTGTGGTTCTAAGCTTCAGACTTCAGCTATGGATACTTACTTTCAAACAATGTGACCTCTTTGAGTAGACTGAACAACTCTGCATGAGAGATGATGTCAGGTAACATTGACACTGGCCAGATTCCACTGGGAATCATAGAATGTTGCTTCTTCTCCCAAAAAAATATAATCCCTCCTTGGACTTTGTGTCAAGAATCTTTATTATTCAAATTTTGGAGTTATGTGATCTTTAGGGGGAAATAGTGTCTGTGTTTGCTTAGTCACTTCAGTCATGTCCTACTCTTTAAGAACTGATGAACTATATAGCCCACCAGGCTCCTCTGCCCATGGGATTCTCCAGGCAAGAATACTGAAGTGGGTTGCCATGCCCTCCTCCAGGGGATCTTCCTGGCCCAGCGATCTAACCAGTGTCTCCTGCTTTGCAGGTGGATTCTTCACAGCTGAGCCACCAGCGAAGTCCTTCTAGTTCTATCACTGAGCAGAAATAGGTTACATTCCTGCAAGCCCTTGAACAAATAACATTAACAGGCTCACTGTATTCTCCTCTCCTTTTATACATAAAAATGATATAAAGAAAGGTTAAAGAAAGTCTATCAGTGTTGCACTTTAAGTAAATGATGAAGTAGAGAATTAAACCTAAAATTTTCCACTTCTACAGAGAATGGAGGAGTTCACAGCAGGCCAATGTGTTTTGCTGGGTCTTGCTGGATACAAATTTAAAAGCTGGAAAATGTTTTTTAAGAAACACTAAATGCATTCAACAATTGTTGACACAACATGGACTAAATATGCTAAAATTCTAAAGAGTGGAGACTATTTCAATGTTAGCCAAGGATCTATAGCTTCTTTTTCTCTGGGAATTTGCCGATTCATTGCATAATTCAATGATTCAGAATCTGGGCTTGGGCAAGCAGAGGACTGTTGTTGTGACAAGAAGCCAGCATAATTTGGGAGTTACCTCGTGCTGAAGTGACAAAATTAGAGTCTTGAGAGCTTCTGTCACACAGCATGTTTTCTCCTCAAAGATCTGCCCAGTATATAAGCTGTGAAGGACAGGAGGCTAAAGAGCTATATAAAAAGACTTGGAAAGTAGAGCCTTTCTCATTCTCTTGGGTAATGAGCTACCAAAGAATTCAGCCTCTGAACTGAAATCTCTGAAAGTCCATGTCATAAGGACAGAGAAATCAGGCGTGGACTGAGTGCTACCAAAACTGCAACCCACACTTGTTACAGCTCAGTTTAAGTTGTATTTAGATGTTTGAGTGATATACACCCCTTCCCCCCCACCTGTCCAGCAAAACAAAGGGTAAATCCTTTTAGGTGTTACAAAATGTGTCAGAAGTATCTTACTTTTTCACATATAATTTATAGCATTCAATAAAAAAATGACATGACATTTGACAAGTTAGGATAACATGACAAATGACCAAAGTGAAAAAAAGAGATAAGAGAATGCAGAGACACACATGATAGAAATGCATAAGAATTTTAACTATGATTAATTTATTTAGGGAAAAAGAGAGAAGGAGAGAATATACAGGTAAAAAGATGAAAAAATTAACAAACAATCATAAACAAATAAAAATAGCAATGGAACCATTGCCAACCTAAAGTAAAATATCTCAGATTAAAAAGTGAATGAATAAGTTAAATGAATTTTAGATAGAACTTGGAGTATAGTGATTTAGAGGAGTCCTAAAGATGAGAGATGAGGAGGAAAAGAAAAAGTAGGAGAGAGAGAAGAGATACAGAGACAGAGAGACAGAACTACAGAAGTCATATTTGAAGATATAATGATAGAGAATTTTTATCAGTTCTAATGAGATGGATGAAACTGGAGCCCATTATACAGAGCGAAGTAAGCCAGAAAGATAAAGACCATTACAGTATACTAACACATATATATGACAATATTGTAAAGTAATTAGCCTCCAACTAATAAAAGTTTTTAAAAACTGAATGAATAAGTCAAAGGAAATTTAGATAGAACTTAGAATATAGTGATTTAGAGGAGTCCTAAAGATGAGAGATGAGAAGGAAAAAAAAGTGTAGGAAAGAGAGGAGAGATACAGAGACAGAGAGACAGAACTACAGAAGTCATATTTGAAGATATAATGATAGAGAATTTTTAAAAATATAAATGGAAGAGTATGAAAACCCCCACTCCTAGTAAAGCTGCTGAAAATCAAAAGGAAAAAGGGAAATCTGGAATAATAGCACATTTATTAATACTACAGGAAGAAAAAAAGGGGGGAGAAAAAGGAACATAAAGCATGTGGATCAATTAAAAGCAAATGGCAGATACCAACACATCAACATTAGTAAATGCATTTACAGTAAATGGATTAAGATAAAACAAAACTGACACAAATGTTGCTTGCAAAATGATCACCTTATATTATGAAAACAAAGAAAGGTTGAAAGTAAAATGATGGGGAAATGTACTAGCTGTAAGAAAACTGGAGTAGCTTTATCAGTGTCCCAGGAAGCAGACTCTAGAAAAGATACACGACTTGAGAGTAGTGCTGAGTGAGGGTGTCGGGGCAGACGGACCGAAACCACAACCACAGACAACCAGCCGATCTGATCACAGGATCCCAGCCTGTCTAACCTAATGAAACTAGGCCATGCCGTGTGGGGCCACCCAAGACAGATGGGCCATGGTGGAGAGCTCGGACAGAATGTGGTCCACGGGAGAAGGAAATGGCGAACCGCTGCAGTATTCTTGCCTTGAGAACCCCATGAGCAGAATGAAAAGGCAAAATGATAGGACACTGAAAGATGAACTCCCCGGGTCAGTAGGTGCCCAATATGGTACTGGAGATCAGTGGAGAAATAACTCCAGAAAGAATGAAGGTACAAAGCCAAGGCAAAAACAATACCCACTTCTGGATGTGACTGGTGATAGAAGCAAGGTCCAATGGTGTAAAGAGCAATATTGCATAGGAACGTGGAATGTTAGGTCCATGAATGAAGGGAAATTGGAAGTGGTCAAACAGGATATGGCAAGAGTGAACGTCAACATTCTAGGAATCGGTGAAGTAAAATGGACTGGAATGGGTGAATCTAACTCACATGGCCATTATATCTACTACTGTGGGCAAGAATCCCTTAGAAGAAATGGAGTAGCCCTCATAGTCAACAAAAGAGTCCAAAATGCAGTACTTGGATGCAATCTCAAAAACAGCAGAATGATCTGTGTTCATTTCCAAGGCAAACCATTCAATATCATGGTAACCCAAGTCTATGCCCCAACCAGTAACGCTGAAGAAGCTGAAGTTAAATGGTTCTATGAAGATCTACATGACCTTTTAGAACTAACACCCAAAAAAGATGTCTTTTTGATTATAGGGGACTGCAATGCAAAAGTACAAAGTCAAGAAACACCTGGAGTAACAGGCAAATTTGACCTTGGAGTACAGAATGAAGTAGGGCAAAGGCTAATAGACCTTTGCCAAGAGACCACACTGATCATAGAAAACACCCTCTTCCAACAACACAAGAGAAGACTCTACACATGGACATCACCAGATTGCCAACACCAAAATCAGATAGATTATATTCTTTGCAGCCAAAGATGGAGACGCTCTATACAGTCAGCAAAAACAACACCAGGAGCTGACTGTGGCTTGGATCATGAACTCCTTATTGCCAAATTCAGACTTAAATTGAAGAAAGTGGTGGAAACCACTAGGCCATTCAGGTATGACCTAAATCAAATCCCTTATGACTATACAGTGGAAGTGAGAAACAGATTTAAGGGACTAGATCTGATAGAGTACCTGATGAACTATGGACGGAGGTTCATGACATTGTACAGGAGACAGGAATCAACACCATCTAAGAAAAAGACATGCAAAAAAGCAAAATGGCTGTGAGAAGAGGCCTTACAAGTAGCTGTGAAAGGAAGAGAAGCAAAAAGCAAAGGAGAAAAGGAAAGATATACCTATTTGAATTCAGAGTTCCAAAGATAGCAAGGAGAGATAAGAAAACCTTCCTCAGTGATCAGTGCAAAGAAATAGAGGAAAACAATAGAATGGGAAAGACTAGAGATCTCTTCAAGAAAATTAGAGATACCAAGGGAACATTTCATGCAAAGATGGGCTCAATAAAGGACAGAAATGCTATGGACCTAACAGAAGCAGAAGATATTAAGAAGAGGTGGCAAGAANGTACATCAAGGCTGTATATTGTCATCCTGCTTATTTAACTTATGTAAAGAGTACCTCATGAGAAACGCTGGGCTGGATGAAGTACAAACTGGAATCAAGATTGCCGGGAGAAATTTCAGATGACACTACCCTTATGGCAGAAAGTGAAAAAGAACTAAAAAGCCTCTTGATGAAAGTGAAAGAGGAGAGTGAAAAAGTTGACTTAAAGCTCAACATTCAGAAAACTAAGATCATGGTATCCAGTCCCATCACTTCATGGCAAATGATGGGGAAACATTGGCTAACTTTATTTTGGGGGGCTCCAAAATCACTGCAGATGGTGACCGCAGCCATGAAATTAAAACATGCTTGCTCCTTGGAAGCAAAGTTATGACCAACCTAGACAGCATATTAAAAAGCCGAGACATTACTTTGCCAACAAAGGTTCATCCAGGCAAGGCTATGGTTTTTCCAGTAGTCATGTATAGATGTGAGAGTTGGACTGTAAAGAAAGCTGAGCACTGAAGAATTGATGCTTTTGAACTGTGGTGTTGGAGAAGACTCTTGAGAGTCCCTTGGACTGCAAGGAGATCCAACCAATCCATCCTAAAGGAGATCAGTCCTGAGTGTTCACTGGAAGGACTGATGTTGAAGCTGAAACTCCAATATTTTGTCCACCTGATGTGAAGAGCTGACTCATTTCAAAAGACCCCGATGCTGAGAAAGATTGGGGACAGGAGGAAAAGGGGCCGACAGAGGATAAGATGGCTGGATGTCATCACCGACTCAATGGACATGAGTTTGGGTAAACTCTGGGAGTTGGTGATGGACAGGGTGGCCTGGGGTGCTGCAGTCCACAGCATCGCAAAGAGTCAGACACGACTGATCAACTGAACTGAACTGAACTGAACACTAATTGAATTAAAGAGGGACTTTTCATGATTATGATGAGATGCACCCTTAATAAAGATATAGACATCAAAATTCAAGAAAGGTTAACAGAACATAGCTTTTGAAATATACTTGACGGAATGAAAAGAAGAAATAGGCAAAATCACAATTAAAATGGAGGATTATTACTGTATCTTTTTCAATAGCATACAGACCAAACATACAAAAAACAAAGAATACAGTAGATGTACAACAAAATAATCAGCACATTTAACTAAGTAACACATAGAGCAATGCACCCAACAATGCAAGAGTTCACATTATTGTAAATGCACTAGGAACATTTATCAAAAATGACCACATAATAGGACAAAATCTTTCACTCTTTGAATTCATACAGAGTATTTACTCTGACCACAGTGGAATAAAATTAAGAATTAATAAGAAAAATTGTTAGCCATCCCTATTTTGGGAAATTCAGCAACACCCTTCCAAAAAACACCTGAGTCTGGGAATAAATTTAAAGTTTACTAAATATTGTGAAATAATGATAATAAAGATATGATAATAATGATAATAAACACAAAATAATGATATTATCATAAATTCTTCTAATGAAACTCAAGTATAGTGCCTAAGGGAAATTTATAGCCTAGATTTAGAAACAAGGAAATACTGAAAGTGAAAAAAGTAAGCTTCCAATTAAGAAACTAGATGAGAAAGTCTAAAGGATGTAGAATGTTGGGGTTAATTTAAAAGGAACAAAAATGAATGGAAAAGAAGGTAAGCATAAGATAGAAAACCCTTTAAACATAGCTCATTGAAAATTGATGAACACTGATCAATACTAATGAAGAGCAGAGAGTAAAGAAAGTTAACAATACCAAGAATGAAAAGGGACATCTCTGTAAATCATACAGAGTTTTTGGTCATAGTTTTTGTGTTGTTGTTTGTTTGTTTTTTGGCTGTGCTATGGCTCGTGGGATCTTAGTTCCCAGGTCAGGGATTGAACTTGGCCTCATGACAGTGAAAGTCCAGAGATTTAACCCCTGGATTGCACAGCTTTATTAGTACAATTTATACATTTAATGTGGGTAAGTACACAGAAAGTGTCAATTTCTCCACAGCCTTGCCAACACTTAAGTGTCTTTAAAAAAAAAGTCATTCTGATATGTGTGAGATGATATCTCTTTGTGGTTTGTTTTACATTTCCCTGATGATTGACAACGTCAAGTATTTTTCATACACCCATTGGCAATTTGTATGTCTTCTTAAGAGAAATGTCTATTCAAGCCGTTGGCCAATTTTTTAATTGAGTTATTAGGTTTTGAATTTTTTTTTCTTGAGTTGCAGGAGTTCCTTATGTGTTTGGAAAATAATACCTTATATAATTAGTGCTAGCTTGCTTTTTCACTCTGTTGATGTTTCCTTTGGCTTGAAGAAGCTTTTTAAGTTTGATATATTCCCACTTGTCTATTTTTGCTTTGTTACCTGTACTTTTGACATCATACCCATGAAATCATGAAGCAATGTGTTTTTATTTTGTGATGAAGCTATCACATATCCAAAATATAATTGTTATCTGGTGATGATGTTACACAATCACACATAGTAAAATAAACTCAGATAAATAAATGAATTCAAAATTAGGTTTAAAAAAATTAGGTTTAGAATATTCTTTAGTGGAACTGTAAAATTATTTGCAGAAAATGAAACTTGATTCAATGTTATTTTGGGATTAAGAATGGCCTATGAAACATTTCATTAAAGGTAGAAGTCAAAAAAGTAAACCATTATAGATTTGATAACATAACCCCCCATTCACATATATAACCTTTATATGCAAAAAATGGGGGAAATATTTACAAAAATATTTAAGGAAGAGTAAGTGATATTTCTTTATAAGACTATAAAGAAAGCTGAGTGCCGAAGAATTGATGCTTTTGAACTATGGTGTCGGAGAAGACTCTTGAGAGTCCCTTGGACTGCAGGGAGATCCAACCAGTCCATTTTAAAGGAGATCAGTCCTGGGTGTTCATTGGAAGGACTGATGTTGAAGCTGACACAACAGCAACTGAACTGAAGTGATGTTTGTTTATAGAGAGTTCCTACAAATAAATAAAAAATTTTAAAGCATTCTAGAGAAAAAAATATTGTCATGAAAGATATCTTAAAACTGTAAAATAGGAAAGAAGATAATATTTTTGTATATAGTGTTTGTGAAAGTCACTCTGCTACTGCTAAGTCACTTCAGCCGTGTCCGACTCTGTGCAACCCCGTAGATGGCAGCCCACCAGGCTCCCCCATCCCTGGGATTCTCCAGGCAAGAATACTGGAGTGGGTAGCCTTTCCCTTCTCCAGGGGTCTTCCCAAGCCAGGGATTGCACCTAGGTCTCCCACATTGCAGGCAGATTCTTTACCGGCTGAGTCATCAGGGAAGCCCAAGAATATTGGGGTGAGTAGCCTATCCCTTCTCCAGTGGATCTTCCCGACCCAGGAATCAAACCAGGGTCTCTTGCATTGTAGGCAGATTCTTTACCAGCTTAGCTACCAGGGAAACCCTAATGTGGATTTTAAAAAAAATGATGCATGTTCTTATGTCAAGACTATGAAGAGAATAATACTCTTTTAAGAGGGAGGTGGGACGGGGGATCGAGATGGGGAATACATGTAACTCCATGGCTGATTCATGTCAATGTATGACAAAACCCACTGTAATCTTGTGAAGTAAGTAGCCTACAACTAATAAAAATAAATTAAAAAATACTCTTTTAAAATTAATTATTTGGTTGTGCTGGGTCTTAGTTGCAGCATGCAAATTCTTACTTGTGGGATCATAAGAAAAAAAATTGTAACTACATGTGGTGATGGATATTACTGTACATCTGGTGATGAATTACTGATATATACAAAAACATAAACTCTATGTTTTACACGTAGAACTAATATAATGTTACAAGAATTACATTTCAATTAAAAATGCTAACAAACAAGGTTGGAATATGTGGATAAAATCAGTTCCATCCTTACCTCATTTAGGCTTCTCTGGTGGCTCAGACAGTAAAGAATCTGACTGCAGTGCGGGAGACTCAATTGTGATACCTAGGTTGGGATGATCCCCTGGAGAAGGGAATGGAAACCCATTCCTATATTCTTGCCTGGAGAATTCCGTGGACAGAGGAGCCTGGCAGGCTATAGTCCATGCAGGCACAAAGAGTCGGACATGATTGAGCAACTAATATTTTAACTTAATGTCATTTTGTGGACCCAAATTAAACTCACCACTTAGATTTTAAAATATCAAATCTCACTGCATCCTACAGGGTTGGGACAGACACACAGAAACAGTAAGTCACCTGCACACGAGATGTAGGCTTCCTCCTCTGGAGAACATGAAGTGTAATTCCAAGGGTCAGAAGGACACTGCCAGAGAGAGGTGTCAGTTTTCCGACACCGGATTCCATCCACCCACTGGGGTCTAGAACCTTCTCTAAGAGCAAGAGAAGAGTTGAGGGTTCCACTGTCCCCACAGCCAAGCTGTCTGCAGATCATGGACACAGTGATGTCCTCCATGGGGTTGTGGCAGACACTGCCCCAGGTCCCGTTGTAGAAAACTTCCAGCCACCCAGCACACTGGTGGTCCTCACTCACCATCCTGAGGGCCAGGAACTCTAAGATTGAAAGGGGAGGAGACAGGACACAATGAAAACTTTGTTGGATGTTTTAGGTTTTCCTTTCTTCTAGAAATGGTGAACATTCATCTCTGACCTTGTTCAAGAGGTACCCACTAGATGACAAGACTGACATTGCCTCCCTTTTAAGTGACTTTGTCCACTTGTGTCTGTCCTTCTATTTCTACCACAATGGTGTAGTGGATATGAACTGAGAGGAAGACCAAACTGTGTGGGCGCTAGTCAGGGAGGGGCAGCTGAATTCAGCTTCCTGACCAAATCTTTGAAGAGTATGTCACGGGATGTGATGTGGATATTAGGGAGATAGGCAGAATAATTAACCCCAAAATGTCCACATCCCAATCTCTGCAACCTGTGAATATGTTACCATAACTGACAAAAGGGATTTACAGATGTGATTAAGAAAAGGACCTTGGGACGGTGAGATTAAGCTAGAATATTATATTAACAACATGAGCCCAGTCTAAGCACATCCTTAGACCCACTATCCTTAAACATAGAATACATTTCTTAGCTCTGCCTAGAGAGAGAGATGTGACTCTCGATAATATTTGGAGGCCTGCAGCATTGCTGGTCTGATAATGGATGAAGGGAGCTGTGAACCAAGGGATGTAGGCGGTTTCTAGAAGCTTGAGAATTCCATGGACAGAGGGGCAGGGCAGGATACAGTCCATGGTATCGCAAAGAGTCAGACACGACTGTGTGAAGAACTTTCTTTTTTTTTTTTTTTATCTAGAAGATTGAAAAAACAAGAAATAGATTCTCCCCCAGAGCCACGGAAGTGATGCAGCCCTGCTGAAGCCTTGATCCCAGCCCAGTGACAGCCTTGCTGGACATCTAAGCTACAGAAGAGTAAGGAAATAAATATATGCTGTTTTAAACTACTAATTGGTAAATAGAGAAGCAAATGGAAACTAGTACCGTGGGTTTAAAATTCTTGTATGTAACTGGAGAGAGAGCCTTGCTTTCAACAAAAACTGTTAAAAACGGCTCTGCCAGGAAACACTGGGGAGAAGAAAGGACCAGATCCTCAGCTGCTGCAGGAGGAAGTGAAAGCACCTCGTCTTCACGTCTGCTGGAAACACAGGCTCCATGGGAGGAAGGCTCCTTCTCTGGTCCTTTCGGCATCTCTCCCTCAGAGCTCAGACCCCGTCCTCCAGGGCCCCACCCCCTCCCCCAGCCTGTGAACAGTGCGCAGCGCAGACCTGAGCAGATGACCCCCGCGTCCTGCTTGTGTCTGCAGTCGTGCTGCCCCCAGCCTCGGGAAGGGCACCTCCACACGTGGGACTCCTTTCCTGTGCAGTTCAGGTCGTCCAGCCAGATGGGCCCTGATCCCGCCCCAAAGTGAGCAGACCCCGTGGCGTTGAGGGCTTCTCCACAGCCCAGCTGCCTGCACACCACGTGGGCATCGTCCAGGTCCCAGCCGTCATCACAAATGGTGCCCCAGGAGCCCTGCTCAAGGATCTCCACTCTCCCGGCGCAGGGACCGCCCCCGTCCACCAGGCGGAGCTGTCTGCTGTCTGAGGAGAGAGAAATGGGACAATGGGGCGGTGACNCAGCCCACCAGGCTCCCCCATCCCTGGGATTCTCCAGGCAAGAACACTGGAGTGGGTTGCCATTTATTTCATCAATGTGTGAAAGTGAAAAGTGAAAGTGAAGTCGCTCAGTCATGTCCGACTCATAGGGACCCGATGGACTGCAGCCTACCAGGCTCCTCCGTCCATGGGATTTTCCAGGCAAGAGTACTGGAGTGGGGTGCCATTGCCTTCTAGGTTGGTTCATAACTTTCCTTCCAAGGAGTAAGTGTCTTTTAATTTCATGGCTGCAGTCAGCATCTGCAGTGATTTTGGAACCCCCAAAAATAAAGTCAGCCACTTTTTCCACTGTTTCCCCTTCTATTTGCCATGAAGTTATGGGACTAGATGCCTTGATCTTAGATTTTTGAATGTTGAGTTTTAAGCCAGCTTTTTCACTCTCCTCTTTCACTTTCATCAAGAGGCTCTTCAGCTCCTCTTCACTTTCTGCCATAAAGTTGGTGTCATCCGCATATCTGAGGTTATTGATATTTCTCCTGGAAATCTTGATTCCAGCTCATGCTTCATCCAGCCCAGTGTTTCTCATGATGTACTCTGCATGTAAGTTAAATAAGCAGGATGACAACACAAAGCCTTGACATACTCCTGTCCCAGTTTGGAACCAGTCTGTTTTTCCATGTCCAGTTCTAACTATTGCTTCTTGATCTGCATACAGGAGGCAGGTAAGGTGGTCTGGTATTTCCATCTCTTTAAGAATTTTCCACAGTTTATGATCCACACAGTCAAAGGTTTGGCATAGTCAATAAAGCAGAAGATATTTTTCTGGAACTCTCTTGCTTTTTCTGTGATTCAGCAGATGTTAGCAATTTGATCAACGTGAAAAGGCAAAACTTTTAGCTGAAAAAAAGAATATATACTTTGTTTTGCTTATGATTTTGAGTCATTGATCAGGAAAAAAAAACTCAGTTTGGCAGTCTTTCAGTGGGGTCTTTCAGTGCTACAATTAGATGTCACCTGGAGCTGAAGTCATTTAAAGATTTGACTGAACTCTGGTTCTGTAAAGAAACTCCTAGAAGTGTTCTAAGGGTAAAGAAACATCATTTCTTCAACTTAATTCAGAAAGATTTTACATATTCAGGAAGAAATGGGGCAGAAGGGGAATCGAGAAGGAAAGACACTCACACACAGAGAGAGATTAAAGCAAAATATTGATACTAACATTTAGAAACCCAGGTAAGGGTCATAAGGGAATTTTTATATTACTTTCCCAACATTTTAATGTCTCAAATGACATCAAAATTAAAAATTTAAAAGATGAAATCAACTCAAAGAGAATTCATTGCCAGGACACTTTCACAGAAATACTCATAACATCAAAAATAAAATAGCTAGGAGAAATCCTAGTAGAAGATGGGCAAAATCTCTGAGAGAAATTCAAGATGTAACTGAACGGAGGGATGTATTATGTCAATGATTTGGAAAACTCAACATTGTCAATGTCAATCATCCTCAAATTTCTTTGTCTCCTCTCAAATTTTTAAATCTAATCTCAATGAAAATACCCTTCAGCTTTTCTTTTGGTGAAAAGGGCAAGCTGATTTCTAAATTCATACAAAATACAAGCAACCAAGAATGACACTCACAGTTGGTAAGAAAAGCAACAAAGTTAGAGGAGTTAATATAAAGCAATTATTGTAAATTAAAATTATTAAGACTTACTACAAAGTTTGAAACTCTGGGAGATAGTGAAGGACGGAAGCCTGGTGAGTTGTAGTTCATGGGGTCACAAAGAGTCAGACATGACTTAGTGATTGAACAACAACAATAACAAAGTTATGATAATTAAGAAAATACAGTATTGGTGCGAGGATAGACAAATGGTAACATGGAACAGAATAGAGAGTCTTAAAATGCACAGACATATTTGCCCTTCTGCTTATGACGAAGGCTTCTCTGAAATGGGGAAAAGAATCTTTTCAGAAAAAGATTGAGTCAATTGGATGTCCATATGAAACCTGACCCTTATCTTACATTGATATCAATCCCATAAGGAATGCACAATTATATGCAACAGAAAAATAATAAAATTTCCATAAGATACTCTTGGAGAACGTTTTTATGATCTTGGAGTAGGCAAAAATTCTGTTTTAAAGGGTATAAGAAGCATTAAATGTACAGGAAAAAGCTGGCAAGTTATGTTTCCATAAGATTAAGAAATGAGTTCATCAAAGGACACCATTTGATTTAAATAAAGAAAAGAAAAGACCAAGGGTTAAACATGGAAAGTAAGTAACACATATTTGCATCCAAAGACATTGTCATGGTTAGTTGTAGTATCATATTTGTAGTAGTCAAGAACTGGAAACAACTCAGATTTATACTGTCAGTAGAATTGATCAGTACATGACCATGTGATCATTCAAAGTCATACTCTATGGTAATAAAAAAATAAATAAAGTGCCACAATATACAACATCATGAGTGAATCCCAAACATAATTTTGAGTCTAAGAAATTAGATACAAAAGATGCAACATACTGCATCATTTTATATAAAGTTCAAAAATTGATAAAACACTATGTTAGAAGAAGTTAGGTAAGCGGTTTTCCCTGTAGGGGAGGGAGGACAGTTACTGGGGACAATAGTGACTGTGGTGCTGGGGACATTCTCTTTGTTGCTCTGGATTGGGGTTCATACTGAGGTCTACACTTACTGCTTCTACACTGTCTTCTATGATTGTATATAAGCAGCAATGTTGCTTAAAAATATATGATTCCTGTTCACACTTCTTGCCCTGGCCTGAAAAATGAAGGAACAATGAGAAGATCCATATTTCACCACGAAATATCTGACTTTGAAGTCCATTTTCCCTCACTCTCTGCTCTTGGGGACATTTCACTCCAGGAGCATCCTGAGTACCAGTAGCCCGTCCCCCCTCTCTTACCTGAGCAGATCACAGAGGCCGTGTTGCCATTGGAACAGTCAGGCCCACCCAGGACAGTCACAGGACAACGCCACAGGAAGGACTCCGCCCCCGAGCAGTGAAATCGGACTGTTGAGATCTGATCACCTTCTTCCACCAAGTGTGGTCCTCTGGGAGTGGAGATGGCAACTCCACAGCTGAGCTGATGACAGACAACATTGGCGTTGGCCAGACTCCAGTGGGAGGCACAGAGTACTCTCCATCGTCCAGAAATGTTCACCTCCACCTGCCCCTCACACTGAGAGGAGCCATTTGTCATGAGCCGGACTTCTGACCCTTCGAAGGCAATGGGCTGCTTTTCTGGGCGCCTGATGTCCTCTGCTAGCGATCAGAAGTTCTTTTGTGAAATTTGCTCAGCATTCAAATGTTCTTTCGAAGAATTTGTAGGAGAGAAAGTGGTCTCTCCGTCTTATTCCTCTGCCATCTTGGCTCCTCCCCCCTTGGAGAATGTTTTTATGATCTTGGAGTAGGCAAAAATTCTGTTTTACAACATCATGAGTGAATCCCAAACATAATTTTGAGTCTAAGAAATTAGATACAAAAGATGCAACATACTGCATCATTTTATATAAAGTTCAAAAATTGATAAAACACTATGTTAGAAGAAGTTAGGTAAGCGGTTTTCCCTGTAGAGGAGGGAGGACACAATTACTGGGGACAACAGTGACTGTGGTGCTGGGGACATTCTCTATGTTGCTCTGGATTGGGGTTCATACTGAGGTCTACATTTACTGCTTCTACACTGTCTTCTATGATTGTATGTAAGCAACAATGTTGCTTAAAAATATATTATTCCCCTTCACACTTCTTGCCCTGGCCTGAAAAATGAAGGAACAATGAGAAGATCCATATTTCACCACGAGATATCTGACTTTGAAGTCCATTTTCCCTCACTGTCTGCTTTTGGGGACATTTCACTCCAGGAGCATCCTGAGTACCAGTAGCCCTTGTCCCTCTCTCTTACCTGAGCAGATCACAGAGGCTCTGTTGCCATGGGAACAGTCAGGCCCACCCAGCACAGTCACAGGACAACTCCACAGGAAGGACTCAGCCCCTGAGCAGTGAAATCGGACTGTTGAGATCTGATCACCTTCTTCCACCAAGTGTCGTCCTCTGGGAGTGGAGATGGCGACTCCACAGCCGAGCTGATGACAGACAACATTGGCATTGGCCAGACTCCAGTGGGAGGCACAGAGCGCTCTCCATCGTCCAGAAATGTTCACCTCCACCTGCCCCTCACACTGAGAGGAGCCATTTGTCATGAGCCGGACTTCTGAGTATGCTGGTAGAAGAAGACAGAGTTTCAGCAAAATCACATGAACAGGGTGTCCACAGAGATGAAAGGCCTGACCTGCATCTCACCTGAACAGATGACCTGAGCAGCTCCACTGTGGTGACATGTGCCCCCTGGACAGGGCACTCTGGGGCAGACCCGGAGCTCAGGCTCCTCCCCCTCACACCTGAACTCTTCAGCCCAGACCCGGCCATCGGACTCTCCGAAGGGCATGTGTCCCAGGACAGACACAGCCTTGCCGCACCCCAGCTCTGCACAGATGACCTGGGCTGTGGGGAGTGTGAAGTTCCCATCAGACACTGGGATCCAGGCTTCTCCAGAATATACTTCTACTCGCCCTGAGCAGGGTCCATCCCCTCCAGCCAGACGTGCAAATCCTAAGAGGAAACAACAACAAAACCAGTGAATGTTCGTGGTACTGACTTGAAACTGCACATTACAGGCCGTGGTGTGAAAGTTTTTCTTTTTAGAAGTGGAGCATGTAGAGTCTTTGACAGTTAGTGTCATAATTGAATTTTCTTGAGCAGGTTTCTAAAGAGAAATCCAGGAGGATTACAATGTCAGTTTGGAATGGCTGAATCCCAAGAACATATACTTTGAGACTGGTTAGAAATCTGAATTCCTTGGTCTAGGAACCTAGAAACTACAGAGCCCAGTTCAGATCATTGGAATGGCTGAATACTGGAAACACATCTTTTAGCATTGGTTGAAGAAGTGAATTTGTCATTTAGCAACCTAGGACCTACAGATCCAAGGATAATGTATAATATGCAGGCACTTGAAAGTAGGCATATGCAGAACAGAACCCACCCAGAAGGATGTGGGCTATGAGATTAGAGACCTAGCATCCAGGCAAGCTTAGAAAGCTTTCCTGGGACTTGTGGGGCTAATATTCTGATCAGTTTTCTCTCCCAGGAGCTAGTCTTCAAGTGACTTGGATGAGGGAAAGTCTTGAGGCTGGATCCATGACGGGATGCTAACCTGTAGACGGGTGACAGCTCCAGAGAAGAAATAATAGACGTTATCACTAATTGATGTTTATGTCATCACATCTTGTCTTTTCAATAGCAAAAATTCTATGAATTTCTTCAGTGACCTCAGTGGGAAAGAAGATGAATTAAGAAAACTCAGAGAGTCATAGAGAAAGAGTCCCAGCCATCTCTCTTGAAATCCTAGGATTAGTCAAAGAACCTGGTAGATGTCTTTTCTCAGTGGGAGCTTACCAGACAGCTGAGTTGCCAGATCATTTCCTATTAAAGGTTTTTCTTCTGAAACAGGACTCATAGAAAATGCTAATTGATTTTAATACTATCATTGTACTAATTCTAACCACAGAAAAATATGCATTCTTCTCAAGTATAAATGGAATATTCTCCAGGCTAGGTTACAGATAAGTCTTAACAAATTCAAAAACATTAAAATAATTCCAAGTATCTTTCATGACCATAATGGAATGGAACTAAAACTCAGTAGTGATAAGGAAACAGGAAATTCATGAATATACAAAAATTAAACCACACACTGCTATTTTAAGATTGTTTTCTCTTTTTCTATGAAGAATGTCATTGGGATTTAGATAGGAATTGCATTAAATCTGTAGATCACTTTGACAAGTACAGGCATTTTAACAATGTTAATTCTCCCAGGCCAGAAGCACAGAATGACTTTCCATTGATCGTATTGTCTTTGATTTCTTTCATAGATGTTTTACAATTCTAAAAGAAGATGGCATGTTGAATGTTTTACAATTCTAAAAGGAGGAAGAAGAAGGAGAAGGAGGAGGAAGTGAGCAAACAAGCCATAATTTGCAGAGTTCCAAGTTGGAAAAGCCTCAATATGAACAAAATATGTAAATATTTGTTGGAAACACTTGTTGAATAGGTTGTTAGCATATTACATCACCCTCTGCTCCTCCCATCTACCACTTAAGCTGCTATCCTTTTTCATTTCTCCCACTTCAGACAAGCAAACACCATTTTAAAAGATACAGATGAATGGAAAAGAAAATCAGAAAGGATAGCTACTGCTGAGGAAGTAGGGTGTAGGTGGGGCATATGGCAGGCAAGGTGGGATCAAGGAAGTTTTAAAACTAAAGGAGACAAGCCAAAATAAATGTTCATCATTTGGTCATCAAAAGAACACATTTTGAACAGAATGAAGATAACCCAATGAAAAAACTTTATTTGATTCATCAAGTACAATTCCCTGATTTTTAGATGTGTTCTGATTATTTATTTCTAAAGTTCTTACTGGTAAAGGACTGCTTAGTGATGCCCAACATCCAACCAAAAAAATTATTAGAATTTCCAAAGGGGAAAAATGTAACCCATAACACATTTTTTAAAAATAATCATTTAAATCAGCTTCAGAAATTATAGAAATGATTGAATTGGCTGAAGAGATCTTTAAACCACTAATATCAATATGCTTAATGAAGAATAAAAATAAACAGGGAGGAAAACTAGGAAAAATAAACAAATGAGACTTCTAAAACTGAAAAAATATAGTATTGGAATGAACAATTATTTGGATTAATAACACAAGAGACTAGACATTGCAGAATGAAAGAATTGGGAAGTAAAACACAGCAATAGAGACTATCTAAACTGAACCAAAGAGAGCAAAAAGGCAGAAAAATATGAATGAAAACACAGTGACATGTAGTGGATAAGATAAAAATATATAAAATATGTGTATTTGGAGATTCAAAATAAGGGCTGTGTGGAAAAATACTAAGAAAAGATAAATGAAATTTTTCCAAAATTTTTCAAAACTGTAAATCCACAGATTCGAAAAGCTAAACAAACCCCAAACAAGGTAATGAAATAATTCTCAGAAAACATGACAATGTAAATACTGAAATTCAGTGGTAAACAAACAAACAAAAATATCTTAAGAGCAGCCAGGGAAATTTGACACATAATATACAGGGAACAAAAGGATAAGTGTTATTTACTGACTTTTTGTTGGAGGCAATGAAAGTCAGATGACAATATAAAAACATATTTAAAGTATTGGAGTTGGGCATTTGTTACCCTAGAACTGAATCAGCTATGAAAATACTTTTTAAAACTGAATGAAAATTAAAATGATTTCAGGTCAATGAAACATGATAGACTTGGAGGCCACCAGACACACACTACACAAAACTGCCTCAGAAAGTTCCTCAAGCTAAAAGGAGATGACAGCAGATGAAAACAAGGATCCTCTCAAAGCTGCAGAGACTGTGCTAAATGCTGATTCTCTATGAGAAGATTTAAGGCAAAATATTAGCAACAAACTATAAGCTTCATAATAAATTTATAAGTAGAATGTATGACAATGATAGCACCAAAGACAAGAACAGGTAAGTGGAAGAAAACTATAGTGACTGACATTGCATGCTGTGACATAATATCATTTCAAGGTAGAATGTAATTAAAGATTAATAATTCAACATGGGCTTCCCCAGTGGTTCAGTGGTGAACAATCCATCTGCCAACGCAGGAGATGCAGTTTCGATCCCAGGTCTAGGAAAATCCCACATACCACGGAGCAACTAAACCCATGCACCACAACTAGTGAGCCTGTGCTCTAGAGCCCAGGGACCACAACTACTGAAACTTGTGCACCCTAGAACCTGTGCTCCAAAACAAGAGAGGCCACCGCAATGAGAACCTCATGCACTGCAACTAGAGAATAGCCTCTGATCTCCGCAACTAGAGAAAAACCCATGCAGCAATGAAGACCCAGCACAGCCAAAAATAAATAAAAATTATTTTAAAATTTAAAAAAATAATTCAACATTATTATCACCTAAAAAGCTGATATGATTAATAAGCCAATAGAATTTTAAGATAAAATAATAAAATATACTCAAAGATTAAAATAGGAACAAAGATATAACAAATAGCAGGCAAGTACACTTAAACATAATTATATCAATAATTACATTAAATGTAAATAATCTAAGTACTCTAAATAAAAAACAAGATGATCAGACCAGATAAAATAAGACAAAACAATATACTATCTATAAATATGTGTGTTTAAATATAAACACAGAAACATATTAAAAAGGTAAAAAATTATATACTATGCAAACACAAGTCAGAGAAAGCTGTATACAGCATCTATATTAATATCATACAAAGTCAGACTATAAGACAAAGAATACATTCAGAGAAAAAGAAACATTTTATGGTAATAAAATACAAAAGAAATTATATACTATCAAAACTGATGGCTTAAAAATAAAGTGATGCTTAGGAGAAAATTTAGAACCTTGATGCTTCCTTGATGCCTACATTAGAATAAAAATAGAAACAGAAGAAAATGATCCAAGACCCAAGAATCTACAAAAACAACAACAATCACAACTGAAAAGCGAAAGTCCCTCAGTCGCGTCTGACTCTTTGTGATCCCATGGTCTATACAAAGATCAAATACAAAGAACAAATATTAAAAGCAGCAAGGGAGAAACAACAAATAACACACAAAGGGATTCCCATAAGGATAAATAAGCCAATAGAATTTTAAGATAAAATAATAAAATATACTCAAAGATTAAAATAGGAACAAAGATATAACAAATAGCAGGCAAGTACACTTAAACCCAATTATATCAATAGTTACATTAAATGTAAATAATTTAAGTACTCCAAATAAACAACAAGATGATAAGACCAGATAAAATAAGACAAAACAATATACTATCTATAAATTTATATGTTTAAATATAAACACAGAAACATATTAAAAAGGTGAAAAATTGTATACTATGCAAACACAAATCAGAGAAAGCTGTATACAGCATCTATATTAATATCATACAAAGTCAGGCTATAAGACAAAGAATACATTCAGAGAAAAAGAAATATTTTATGGTAATAAAATACAAAAGAAATTATATACTATCAAACCTGGTGGCTTAAAAATAAAGTGATGCTTAGTCACCCTCAATGGTGAAAAATTGAAAGCATTTCCCCTGAAATCAGGAACAAGACAAGGGTGCCCACTCTCACCACTACTATTCAACATAGTTTTGGAAGTGTTGGCCACAGCAATCAGGGCAGAAAAAGAAGTAAAAGGAATCCAGATAGGAAAAGAAGAAGTGAAACTCTCTCTGTTTGCAGATGACATGATCCTCTACATAGAAAACCCTAAAGACTCTACCAGAAAATTACTAGAGCTAATCAACGAATACAGTAAAGTTGCAGGATATAAAATTAACACACAGAAATCTCTTGCATTCCTATACACTAACAATGAGAAAACAGAAAGAGAAATTAAGGAAACAATACCATTCACCATTGCAACAAAAAGAATAAAATACTTAGGAGTATATCTACCTAAAGAAACAAAAGACCTATACATAGAAAACTATAAAACACTGATG